TAATAAAAATAATAAAAAAGAAAAAATCTTTAGACTTTTCCTACAGTCTTTTTTCCAGTTATTCAACCTAACTAATATTAATTATTCTAATCTTTTATTAGCATCTCTAAAACCTACCGAGGGGAAGGGGAAAACACAAATATAGCTTTCCAAACCAGTTTTCCTTGTTGTTTTAAACTAAGTGAGTTCTTAGGTTAACCATTAGAAATATATTTTTTTCCACCTGTAAATTTGATTGATTTTTAATAGGTACCAATTTAACACTTGTTTATAATGAGAGCTCTCTAAAATCTTACCAATTTAGAAGTTTCTCCAATTTAAAGTCTCCATCATCTGCCCATCAATGAGCTGTATATTAGTAGTGACTTTGAACCAATAAGACGAAGAGGTTTCCCACAAGAGGTGGGGGGTGAGGGTGCCACTTAAATAAGATTCAAAAGTTTAGTCCCAAAAAACATAAAGGCCTTCGTGGTCCAGGTTTATGTAACATAGGTTAAGATGTCAAAATGTCTGAGAATTGTTACACTCTAAGGATTGCTCAGCATCCAAATCTATTTGCCTGGCTGCTATGAACGAAAATACTGCAATGTGAATGAAAATACTGCAACCGTATCAGTAAACAAAGAATGCTGAAACCAAGTCAACAGCGGCTGCTGCCCACCCCAGTTAGGACAGGCCTGCAGCCACTCACAATGGTGCACTCTGAGCAGACTCAGAATAAGAAAGGACAGGATCCTGGCCCTAGATAGCTAGGTGCTTGTCAAAGGAATGAATTCAGTGAGCCCAAATATTTGCTTCCTCCCATACATGGAAAAGCACTAAATTCTTTAACTTGAGATGCCTGGTTTTCTTTAGATAACAAGCAATCTTTTATTGTTCCAACTACCCGGTCTTTGTTGTAAAGCTCCTATATATCCTAGCTTCTCCCCTACCTTTTCAGAGCAGTCTCTCAGAGCCATCTGAGGGTCTGTCATCCTGGCTCGAGTCCTCCCACCAAATAAAACATAACTCTTAACTTTTAGGCTGCGCATTTATTTCAGTTGACACTGCCATATGTACACCATACTTGTACCTTTTGGATGGCAGAGACCAAGTTTAAAAAAAAACATACACATATACATACACACAAAACATCTAGAAAAAGATAAAACATTTATATTTCAAGGGCACACGAAGAGAAATGCAAGTTCCCCCTAGAAGGGCTTTTGTTTTTCTAAGTTCAGAATTCTGAAAAAAAAAAAAAAGTTTTTATCAGGCTGGCTTTTTTTTAACCTAACTGCGTACACAATAAAAGAGCTGGCTTAATTATTTTCAGGGTGAGATTTTCTTTAATTTCCAATTAAATTCTAAGTTCTGTATGTACATAAACCTGGTTGGGGTATTAATGAGAGGCTGGAAATCTGTTGTTCCTTTTTCTTTTGCTTTGAAAGCTTTTGTCTCCATTCTTAGGTTGATTTGTCAGAATAAAATTGCTAGTGGGTTTCCCTATAGAGACAGCTGCATGGCATGAGGTCTTTGCCTCCACCACTCCTGCAAGTTTCTCAGTCCCCTGAGAAAGCCATTGCTGGCCAGGAGGAAGGTCCCGTCTTTGGAGTCGAATAGCTTCTGTTGACTGAAATAAATGCACAGCCTAAAAGTTAAGAGTAATGTTTTATTTGGTGGGAGGACTCGAGCCAGGATGACAGCCTCTCAGATCGCTCTGAGGGACTGCTCCGAAGACGTAGGGGAGGAGCTAGGATATATAGGAGCTTTACAACAAAGACCGGGTAGTTGGAACAATAAAAGATTGCTTGTTATCTAAAGAAAACCAGGCATCTCAAGTTAAAGAATTTAGTGCTTTTCCATGTATGGGAGGAAGCAAATATTTGGGCTCACTGAATTCATTCCTTTGACAAGCACCTAGCTATCTAGGGCCAGGATCCTGTCCTTTCTTATTCTGAGTCTGCTCAGAGTGCACCATTGTGAGTGGCTGTAGAGGCTGGGCTGCAGGCCTGTCCTCACTGGGGGGTGGCGGCAGCCACTGATGACTTGGTTTCAGCATTCTTTGTTTACTGATATGGTTGCAGTATTTTCATTCACATTGCAGTATTTTCATTAACAGTACCTAGGTTTAATGAAAGCCAAATAAGATGTTTTATACTTGTTACAGATTTGTCAAAAAAAATAGTAATTTGGTGTGATAAAATTCTTATAATTAAAAGCAAATGAGATAAGAGCTTTTGGGTAAATATCTTAAAAATAATATTTTACGGTAAATGCTTAAAAAATAATTATATCTTAGGAACATATGCTTAAAAATCTCTGAAAATATTTGGTATCTTAAAATTTTAGACTTGCGCTAAATTAAGTTAAATGATGGGAGTTTATTAAATAACCAAGTCATTCCTAAATAAAGTAAGGTATTAAAACATTAATATCTAAACATTGACTTCCCTTTACAGAAAAGCTAAAGGTACTTGGGACTATTAAAACTTGTTTGATGCTACCCTAAGAGAGTCTCTATAAGCACACACATGGGTTTAGAAATTATGATTGGTATTGTGAATGAAAAATACTGCAAACCATATCAGTAAACAAAGAATGCTGAAGTCATCAAGTCATCAGCGACTGCCACAACTCCCCAGTGAGGACAAGCCTGTAGCCCAGCCTCTGCAGTCACTCACAGTGGTGCACTCTGAGAGGACTGAGAATAAGAAAGGACAAAAGACTGACCCTAGATAGCTGTGTTAAGAAAACAAAGTATCTTAGAGCAACTTTTGATAACAGATTGTGTATCTGTGCTTTAAGTGATTTGTATCTGTTTTTGAAATCATTGTCACTTTGGTTGAGTACATAAGTACTATTTCACAGTGACCTATTGAGAAGGAAAAGCCAGGCTGGGCTAACAAGATAACTCATAAATCTAAGTGTAATAAGTGTAGGTTTACTGATCTAAGTTCTGCTGGGCTTGTGAAGGAAAAGCCGGGCTGGTCTAACAAGATAACTCACAAGTCTAGGAATGTGAAGGAGAGGCTGGGCTGGGCTAACAAGATAACTCACATATCTAAGTATCGGAATACTGATCTGAGTTCTGCTGGACTAACTTGTAAATCTAAGTTAATTAGTGTTGGTTTGCTGTTCATGTG